GCCCTTTTGGCTTACAGCGTATGCTATTTTCACACTATCATTTTTGTAACACCACTCGTTCCTCAAGTATTTTCCTTGAAAAATTATGAGTGGTGGGACATTAGTTGCCAATAGGACAGTTGTGTTATCACGGCCGGGGGAGCTAGTTGTCCTAGTAGAACTATACCCTCTTTGGCCAAGCACTTTACTTTTGGATGGATCGTTGCAAAAACTGGTTTCATCTAGATTATAGATGCACTCATGTTTCTCGACCAGATCCAAATCATTTATGGCATTTCCAATAAATCAAAGTATTCATATACGGTGAACGGATTGCAAGCTTTCCTTCTAGCTTTTTCGACTGACTGTGGTTTTTTTTAATGATAGATTATTTATTTTGCAAAAGCGCCGATATCAATCATCTCCAGGAATATTATCCTTAAATGGAGTTACCACCCATTTCTTACAACGTATTCCGAAACCAATGTTTTAACGTCCTTTTTAGTTAGAGGAAAGCCATACTTTTCTAAAGTATGCAGATACGAAGCTATCTTGCACTCAATATCAATTGAAAATATTGTCTTCATTCCAGTATTCACCTGCTTCTGGCCACGTGTGCCATATAAATGCGAAATTATATTAGATCTCGGAATATTAAAGTTTTTTTCTGCCTCGTAGCTATTTAACGTTTTGTTTTTAACTAACTCGAGTGCCTCGAGAAGCTTTTCTTTTGAATAGCTCTTTTCTTTTTTCTTAATATAATTTCGGACCATCTAAAACAAGTGAAATAAATGAGAACAAACTTTTAAACCAAAAAAATGATAGTTAAATTCAAATATCTCGAAAAAAAAAGCATAAAAATAAAAGAGAACACTATGTTCTTACTGTAAAATACATGAAATAAACAAAACGATTTTACGGTGGGGCAGTGCAATGCATTCCGCAATTTACTCAGGTCCCGAATGTATTCAGATCGTGCTGTAACTGTATTGATTTATTATCGACATTCGACATCACTAGCATATTTATTTTTATACAAACACAAAGGGGCTATTGTAACTAAAATAACTAGACACAATAGCCCCACAACGCGGTAAATTGAGGCTAATGTAACTATTACATTATCTTACGATTTAAAGGATCTAACGTCATAAAAATAAGTTTATAGAGTACTTACCGTTAGTTTTTCTAAGTTGTTGCATAAACCCTTGCTTAAAATGCACGATAAGTATTTTTTTGTTGAAAGTTGAGACGCTCTCCATTAAATACGAGATGAAAATGGCGACTAACAAAAAAGCTCTGGTAAGTCATACAGTTTCGATCCAAGTGATGCCATGTGTTTATGATACGTTAAACTATGATTTTTCTCCATGCCAATAGATGACATTGTATTTAAAAAACCATAGAATAGAAGATATCGCTGTTGGTTGCTTTAGCCCCATAGTTGCAATAGCCTCCATTGACCTACCCCAACTCGCAAAGAATGACAGTTTTTAATTCAATCATTCAATGTTATGTGTACATTATTGTATCTTTTGATATTGTAAATATAAACTTTTAATGCATATAAAAAATTTCGATTCGATTTCGATTTTTTTTGAATCGATTCATCCAATTTCGATTTGAATCGATTTAAAAATGTGTAAAATTAACCGCTAGCCCGGCCATTTTATTGACAGCTTTTCGTCATGCCGTTGCTTCAGAGTTTCAGAATTTTGGTGAATAGTGAAATATTTGTGTCGGCGGAATACTGCTAAATATCGCAAAAATCCTTTCTTACAAATGGTGGCAGCCATAAATTATGTTTATAAATTAAAGTAGTTATAAAAGTTAATATTTTGGTGTTATATTGAGTGCAATAGCGAGCGAAGCAAGCCTGGAACGTGGGGCACCCCCACTCGGAAAGGTTAGGTTAGAAATTAGAAGGGGATAACGGGGTTGAGTGAGCGAGCAAAGTGAGCGAATAGACCCGTTATCCTCTTCGTCGTTATTTTTTTGTAAATGACTCAGAAGTAGGAGCCCCGCGAAGCGGCCCGGCTTCGCTCGGTTGCACCACGTTAGGTGGCGTTGGGCTTCCGTCCCCCAACTCTCTCTCCCCATAAATCATGTTAAAATTGTCATAAAAATACGAAACATAACCTCAAAATGAGATTTTTAAAAATTTATAAAAAAAAACTAAGCACGTCCGGCAGAAAGGGGAAGTAGGGGGTGACTACAACTCCCCCCCTCCCCCTTACCACCCCCCACCCCCTAATTCAGGCGACAGAATTGTAAACCTTACACAACACCGGTAACAGGTGCACCTCAGTTGTATGTGTAAATAGTAAATCAAAAAAATAAAAATCTGTACTTGAATTTGAAGGGCTGTAATGATAATGATAATGTGAAGTGATGAACATGAATCTGCTCAGTTTAAACATCACCCAAAGAGAATGTCAGTAAAAATTGCAGAACAGTGAAAGAAAGAAATACAATGTGGTTTGTATAGAAAACTATATTACCATTTACTCACACTACTGTAGATTAAGACATTTGCAGCATAAACTGTACAAAACATTTTATAATGCTAGCTCATGATTTTGCTGTTAATGTAAATAAGAGCACTAGTTACTGCTGTTGAGGGGCTTATATGACTTGGATATAACTGCATTATTTCTACCCACACACAGTGTATTTACTGCGGTGTTAAGTCATAAAGAGTATCCAGTTACAAAATGAGGCCGGTCACATACGTGTGGAATTTTGATATGAAATTCCGAACGCAGCAAGTCCGTATAAAATCAAGACCCTATCACACACATACAAGTAGTGTTCCGTTCAAATTTTGTGGGCAAAATAGGATTCTGAATGTATGTGGCCGACCTAACTAAGAACATTATATTTCATTAACACATATTATATATATTAGATATTTATCAATAAGTTTACATTTATTTTTTTATTTGTATGGATCTCCAACAGTTGTACATATTAACTTACATCTAACACATGATTTACATTTACAAATAACTACATACTACTAATTATAGAACACCTCATTCTATAAAAATAACAGTGTCTTTAATTTGCCTATAAAAGGTTAACATATTTTAAAATGGTAACAATTTTAATGGTAGTTGGAACAAAAATAATTTTAGTGAATAAAGATATACAATCTTTATTGTAACAAAAATAAAAGTTAAGTTTTGCATGAATTTAATGACTAAATAATTTTCTAAACTGTCAGTACAGTTTTTCAGAAAAATTCACCCTACGGCATTTGCGTCAAACTAAAAATAGGCTATGATAGCTAGTGAATGAAAGTTGTAAGAGCGAGTGAGACGCATGCACATCTTTCGTTATGTAGCGCCAGGCGACCGAGTGGGAGGTTAGCGGTCGACACATCATTGCAGCCAACATTTTTAGAATTAGCTGACGCGCGCCTTACGTTTACAAAAAAGTATTTTTCTCTTATAAGTATTTAGGCACTTGATATTTATTTTTGATTTTGGCTGCCTCGTTGGTCTAGTAGTTGTAGTAGTGTGCGAGCTGATTATGAGGTCCTAGGTTCGAATTCCGGGTCGGGACAAAAATCAATTTATTGATTATTTCCGTCGGTAAATTCTCAGCCCAGAGTCAGGAAGTTGGCGCTGTCTAACCCTTGTCACTCGGAAAGCACGTAAAGCCGTTTGTTGGTGGTGGTTTTTTCGCGTATAAAGTCAATGACCTTAAAACGTTCAGTGTGTAAGTAGATCTCCCAGTACTAGTTACTGCCTAATAATGCGAGATCAGGATATACTGGTTACTAGTTAAATACTTGGTCGATAAAAGAAAGTAAAAATCGGCAGCACTTCTCATTGGCACCCTTTATTAAAAATGCCATCGCGTGTCGCATGTCTGTGAATAGCAAAAAAATTTAAACTTATTTCCAAATTTATGTACAAACTACACTGATTGGTAATTAAAAAAATTATACTACATTATTGTTATTTACAAATAAAAATTACCTTTTTAGCGATATCGCAGTAATTGTTCAAAATGTCTAACTTTTCCTTCTACACAAAGTAGCAATCTTTTTAAAATGTTTGTTAAACTTCGAAGCATGTCTTTATCACTTTTCATCACATTAAATGCGTCTATTATACGCTGCTTTAAATCATTAACACTTTGTGCTTCTTTTGTGTACACTAATCGTTTTAGTTCGGCCCACAAATAAAAGTCTAGAGTTATTAGGTCTGGTGATTTCGCCGGGTCATCCGCGACCTATCCACCTATCACCGAATTGGCGCGTCATTGTTAGATACTCCACATAAGAGTATTGGTACATGTTTACGATATACACGCGGAAACATAAACAATACGACGGTGACGCGACGTCACGTCTGAGCTACTACTACTTACTACTTTATTTACTTATTTATTGACTTATTTATTTAATTCAAATTTTTTGTTTTATTTTTTGTAAAATATCAGTGCCATAGGCTGCTACTCCGTTCACCTGTTGCACCCTATTTTTTCCAGACGGTAAAAATAGTCACCCAGTATATACAATAAAATATTTATTACTGGTAAAGCAGCATTGTTCCTCAATAGACATTATACAGGCTCTGTAACTGTAATAAGTAAATTGTTGCCAGTAGTTGTGTGTGTGTGTGTGTGTGTAACCGAAAAGTATGGTAGCGGCAATTTACTATTATGCAATGCATAATAGTAAATTGCCGCAGTGCGTTTTGATGTTATTTAGGAAAAATCAAAGAGAATTCTGCTTAGTATTATTATTAAAGTAACTTCTATGTTTGGTGACCCAATGTTTCAGATCTAAGGTTGAGAATATTTAATTATGCTTTAGAATAAATTACCCATATTATTATAATGCGCATTATTTAATGTGTACATGAAATAAAAATTGGATCACAAGTGTATTCATTGTTTTATATTAAGTGTTATCTGTTAGCTTGTCATTTAAATGTTAACATTTAAGACAAAAATCTTATTGACCATTAGATATTTCTTTTCTAAGTGAAATTCCATTACTCCAATAGTGAAGTGATGGAAGGACTGGAGCTGAGGCCAGGGCTGTCATTCTTGAACATTGGGTCCGGCACAGGATACCTCAGCACCATGGTGGGTCTGGTCCTGGGTTCAGGAGGCATCAGCCATGGAGTGGAAATAAATCAAACAGTAGTGGAGTATGCTACTACGAAGAATCGCCAGTTTATTGAGAATTCTCCTACTTTAGATGATTTTGACTATTGTGAGCCTAAATATTACTTGGGTGAGTAAAATTATACAAAGTTGTTCTTGGTTATTATTGTTTTGTTATCTATCCAAATTTGTGTAAATAAAGTAAAATATTTACTTTTGACCTTAAGAGCCCTCTTACATTTCGGCGTTACGCAAATTTAGGTATTTTACGCTACGAGCGGGCGATGACCCACACGAGCGATACGTTATTTCATATCTATATTCACTCGCTCGCGCTATAGTACTGCGAGTACAGCAACTAAACGATCTTGATTTTCCTTCATACAAGTTTTCTAAAATTTTAGGTGTGCTATTTTTATGTTATCTAATTAATTTATTATAATCTATTTGATATATTTTTCATTATTTATGAATCTTAGTGTTGAAATAAGTACACATAAATATTTTAATTCTTTCACAGTAATCGATAGTTAACCGATGTTGGTTAATAATCGATTATATAGTAGATACTAACGGTATCATAGTGGTATAGATAAATAAATAGTACGGTTGCAACCTGTTTTAATAAATAAAATAACCAACTGTAACTAATATATTTTTAATCGGTACTTGCAGTCAAGTACCATATATTTATTATAAAATATTTGCCGCAACGGCATTGACCTAGCTTATCTCGAGTCAATAATTTCAGGCAGTACACACTTTTTATTAAACACTTGTAACTTGGCTAACATATTCAAAATCCAAAATTTGTCGTCTTTGTAGATTTTTTGTACTTTTACTGCATAATCTGGGTCAGTCCATATGGCAAGCATGCAAACATTTTTATTCTCCATTATTTTTTCTCCAGAGATAGCATATTTCTTTTTTTACGTTTAGTGATACATTGATACTTGTATTTATTTTCCCCATTCCCACTGGTAAGAAAGCTCAGCTACAATGAAAATAACTGTAGTGAGTTGTCTATCGGGTATAATAATAATGTGCGTATTTTATACTAATTGAAATATACTGTACGAAAGTAAATACGTCTAACGATTAAAAATTGCGGGCGTAGTTGACGATGCTCTAGCACAAAGTAGCAGCGCCACGGCCATCGACCTACACAACGATAATATCGAAACGAGACGGAGTGCGCGAAATAAACTGTCACAGGTCCGACCTAGAGAACCGCTGGCGCGGTAATGAATTCAGATGGCCGACGCAGTGAAATATATGATACTTTATTTAATTAATTAAAAAATAATAGTAACGATTTAAAAAGTATAAGATTTATAAAGTAAATAAATTTTACGTCAAAATGATGTAGAACTGCGGAGATATTGGGGCTTGTATCGAAGCTTTTTCGGTAGGTAATTGAATTATGTGATTTTTTTCCTTACGTGAAAGGCATATATAAGAAAAATGTATTTTATCATTATTAAAGTATAGGATATTTGTGACATAAAATATTTCTTTTGATGGTAGATATTCAATAGAGTATACATATTAGAGCTCCCAAATCATGTCTCTCAGAGTTTTGGCCTAAACACGCATCAGGAGAATGATTATTACTAAATAAATAAATAAGTTATTTAAAATTTGCCTTGAGATTATTGTAGTAGAGAAAACGAACTATTTTTACCATGTATTGTTATTTCAAGCAACGAACGGAAAACATATAATTTCAACGAGGAAACCCTGTAATTTCGCGTTTTTTGTAATACTCTTAAGGTTCAATTCAAATATGTATTGCGGTACATCCGTTAAAAACCGCAAATCGTAATTTTATAAACTGATAATAAAGAGCATCATTACTAGTACAATTATATTTGACTCTGCTCATTGACGGTGTTTACGGTGGTCCTGCGTTTATCTCTCTCATGCTGTGTGAAGTGCAAGAGAGTGCACCTTAGCTAGCACCCTTGTATCATCCCAATGTCCTGCGCAAATGGGCTATTCTCCGTTGAGACTGACTACTGTGACGGAAATTCGGTGTGGAAGACATTGTTATTATTATTATTCCACTTTTCCCCTCCTCTGACTTGCTTACCTCTCATATTGCACATGGTATGACAAAGATTATTACATACAATGTTAAATTACAATAATTGACCTCTAATCTTCTCACATAGTAGGTAGGTGGGGTGTGGGTAAATTGGCACTAGTGAGTAGCAAGGTGATTTATTTACACTTATGCAACTACAGTACTTCCTGTACAGCTTACAACTTCGAGGGTTTTTGAGTGTTATTGTAGTAGTCAAATTGGTTAGGAACATATCAGTTTTCATACAAATTTATGATAAATTATTTAGATATTATGTAATTAGAAGTTCCATATTAGTCTTCCAAGGTGGCACAATTGAGAACTTCAGGTTAGGAGCTGATCAGCCATTATTCTATTTTTTACTGCGTTTGGTAAACCTGATTGAATTTCTTTCTATCACACTATATGTTTCCTAGGGAATGGGCTGTGTTTGGCTCCGCTGCAAGCGCCTTACGATCGTGTTTACTGCGGCGCTGGTTGTCCAGAAGAATATACAAACTACTTTAAGCAGCTCATAAGGGTATTTATACTATGTTTCTTTAAACATTAATTTTAGTTTTTTGCAAATAGTTTTAGTTTTTTGTAATGCAAAACCTCTTGATATAAAATATACACATATTACAATTAACGTATGTGTGTGTGGTGAAGTGGACAGGAGACAGTGCAGAAGTGTGTCTCTAGCAGTCGTGTGGCAGAAAAAGTCATAGGGCCCCCCAATTTTTCTGCCACTAGGCGGGGCTACTTAGTTTGAACTAGCGATAACTAGTGAGCATAAGATTATTAGGCGTCGTCTTTATTGGCAAATATCGAACAAGCGAACGATGCGATTTCGTCGCACGAAGAGATTAAACACACACTTCATTAGAGTGTCCTAATTGAAGCTTGCAAGTCATCGTGTGAGCACAAGAAGTTCTTAATAACAATGTCACAGTCAGTGCCACAGCAATTGCAACAAAGTCTGAACCAGATAAGCGAGAAAATTGAGAACAAAGGTATGACCTATAAAAAAGGTACAATACCTTACTACTTTTTAAAAAACAAATTGAATAGGAATAGTAACATCGAAAGTAAAAAGTTTTTTTTATCAATAAAAATAAATTTTGTAACTTAACCACACTTCACCAAAACATTGCTGGTGCCATAAAATAAGTCCCAAGAAATTAAATTTGTACTTTCAGAATTTTTACAAAATAATAAAGAAATAGACATAGTATGCTTGACTGAAACGTTTATAAAAAAAGGTATGGAACAGCTTCTGAACATACCAGGGGTTAGAGTCGTCTCAACGTACTACCGTAACGCTAGAAGAAGGGGTTCTTGTATCCTAGCTAAAAGTAGTATAGAATGTAAAACCCTGGGCATTGTTAGTGATTTGGCATGTACTTTTAATTTTGAAGGTGCTGGTGTAGAGCTCACATCACAAAAAAATCTTCATAATATGTATATATAGAACCCCAAATATAATTTTTATTGACAAACTGGAACAATTTTTGTTGAAAATTTGTAATAGATCCAAAAAAATAATATTATGTGGTGATTGGAACTTTGACACTCTAAGACCTACTAAAAATTGTCAATATTTGATAAATTTATTACAAAACTTTAATATGGAAATGCATATTAAGTCACCTACTCGACAAACGAAATGTATCGATCAATTTGCAAGTAATATACGGCAAATACAAGCTGAGGTCCACTACTTATGCTTATCTGACCACGAGATGGGTCAAACTCTTACAATACAATTTCCAAATAGATACTATTCTAAATAATAACGAAATATATTTTGAACCAAGTGGCATTAGTGAAGCTTTTAATAATTTTTATATAGACATGACCAATACAAATGATTTTATTTTAATGATAATTTTTAAACACAATATTTTTAAAACCGACAGATGAAATTGAAATAAATAATATAATTAAAAGACTTAATAATACTAATTCAGTAGGATTAGATAATATAAATACAAAAATAATCAACGCCTGTGCTAATTATATATGTGGACCTTTGAGCTACACTATAAACATGTCGCTTGAGGAAGGTACTTTCCCTGAAATTAAAAAAAAAATCAATTTTTAAGCCATTATTTAAGAAGGGAGAGACTACTGATAATTATCGACGAATCACTTTAATACCAGTTTTATCTAAAATACTTGAAAAGGTAATGATGAAAAGATTTTACGATTATGTTACAGATCAAAATATTATTTTGCAGTTTGGGTTTAGAAAAAATAGTAACACTACATTAGCATGCTTTAATTTAATAAAATATATTACGGAGGCCATTAATTAAAGGGCACCTGTAAGTGCGATCTTTCTTGATATGACTAAAGCTTTCGATTTCGTAGACTATACATTATTACTATATAAGCTTGAAAAATACGGAATCAGGGGAAAAGCACATGAATGGCTGGAGAGTTATATGACTTCTCGTGAACAGTGCGTAGAGCTTACTAAAATTCAAAAGGGCAAAAAATTACAAGCAGGTCTCGGTTACAAAATAATAAATACGGTGTCCCACAGGGAAGTGTGTTAGGTCCTTTTTTATTTCTAATATACATCAATGATCTTCCAAACGTCACTGACCACGAAACTGTTCTGTTTGCGGATGATACTACTGTAATTATTAAGTGTAAGGATAGAAAATTCTATGAAAGTGAAGTATCTTTACATTCGACAAAATCTTTAGATGCCTCAAAAGTAACAATCTAAAATAAACTTAAATAAAACAAAAATGATACAATTTAGGGATTATAGAACTCCACCTATTGGACTGAATATTTGTTATGATAATACAAAAATTGAAGAAGTCCACTCTACAAAATGTTTAGGATTAATGGTTGCACTGTGATATGTGATGCGATGTGATGTGTAGATGCACTTTGACTGGAAAACTCATATAGAGTATGTATGCGATAAACTTGAGAGATTTGTTTATGCTATAAAACAGCTACGGTTAACAGTGTCTACTGAAGCGGCACTGAGCGCTTATTTCGGCTATGTCTCAGTCAGTCATACGCTTGTCAGAGCTTTCATACGGCCTGTTGTTGTGGGGCAACTCGGTTGAGGTTGGCAAGGCCTTTTATGTTCAAAAGAAGTGTGTCATTGGTCAGTGGGCCATTGGTGGAGCTTGGTCTTTAGATAGTTGCAAACCTTTATTTCACAAATTTCACATACTGCCTCTAGCTTGTATGTACATACGGGAACTTTGTGTTTTTGTCAAATATCATCCACAATATTTCATCATTAACGTCATTCATGGCATCAATCAATTCATGGCACTTCTACTGACTAAAAGTTTTGAGTAGGTGCCATGCCAAGAAATAAATTTAAGCTATATCTGCCTCAATGCAGACTTGATATATATAAAAGAAATGTATTTATAAGTGCCATTAGAGTTTACAGTAAGTTACCTAACACTTTCAAGAACCTACCTTTTGTCATTTTTAAAAGGAAACTCACAGAATGGCTGGCAACAAAATGTTTTTATAGTGTAGACGAATATATTATGACTTATAAAGAAATCTACAATAATGGTAATAATGGAAATACTGATAAATTTTTCTTACTTTGTCATTTAATATTTATTTTATTTTGTTGACATTTTTAATTTTTTTTATTTAGATATTTGACAATTATATATAAACATTTACATAATTAAAATTTTGATATGTATTTATTGTAATTTAAAAACTTGGTGCCGAAATATTTTTAAAAGATTACATCATTGCTTTTCTTCAATAATTTAACCTCATTAAATTTCTATAATATTTTTTGTATATTGTAAAGATATTGCACGCCAATATAATGGTAAAATTTAAGGTCTCATTAATAAATAACATCATTATAATATTATGTACTACATTATGGCAACGAATAAATTTGAAAATTGAAAATCGTACGATATATTTGATCATACGATCGTGTAATCAAAGATACAAATCTCTTTTGAGTGTGCTAATTGGTTACGCGTTCATCGCGCGAGCTCAGCAACTCAAGGGATGAGGGCGAAGGCCTTTCTATGGCATTTGCAATATTCAAAGCAATATTGCCATATTGTAAAAACAGTGCATCTCTGTAAAATTCCGTTGTTGAAATGGTGTCGTTGCGGTGAAGGCGCTTTTAAAACACCTGTTGTACCATCGCACGATCTTTTTCATCTTTTTCAACTGTACAGGGTGCTGATAGCCGAGAGTAGACTATTTGCAATCTGACCTCAGTAATGTCGGTAAAAGCACTGTTTATAGACATTGAAATATATTATGAATTAAGTTTTTTTTGTAAAGATTGGCGGTATCCTGGTGATGCCATTGAACGATACACTGCTGCAAGTGAAGCGAGTTGGTGACAACGAGTGGGTGTCGCGCAGCATGCTCAACGTGTCCTTCGTCACCCTGAAGCTGCCTACCACTGATCCACCCACGGAACTGATCAAACTTGGTATGTTTTTTTGACACTTACTCAATTAAGAATGCAATCTTGCACGAAGTGTATCTGATAGTAAGGTGGGAAACTGTATAATTTTTATTTTGATGAATATCACCTCAGGAGAGATTCTTCTTTCTTTTTTTGTTGCACATGTAAAACTTAGATACAGGGAGTTGAGAAATTCTTAGTATAGAAATAAAGTTTTTTTTTTTTAAATTTTTTGTTGTAAATTTCACAGTGCTGTCAATCCAGCTTCGATCTTTGTTGGCGCTAACAACATTTTTAATTGCAATTCTACATACTAATTTACCACATGCTCATATCTGAGGAAGGAATATGAATTGCTAAGTAAAGTTTAGTTCAAATGACGGCCATGCTTGTTTTCTACTTTTTTATTTAAAGTTGTTTATCCGAACGTGAATACACTACATAATTAAATTTAACAAAGGAAAACTGAAAACATCTATAAAAAGAAAGTGTCACGAAAATATTTGCAGTGCAATACTTGTAATTGTGTTTGTTCTTGTAGTATTAAATAGTTATACATATTTTTACGTTTTTTTTAATAGAAGAAGGGGCAAACGAGCATGCGGCTCACCTGATGTTAAGTGACTACCGCCGCCCATGATCAACCGCAACACCAGGGGAATTGCAGGTGCGATGCCGGCCCTTTAGAAAGGAGTAAGCTCTTTTCTTGAAGGTCCCCAGGTTGTAACGGTCCGGAAAAATCGCCGATGGTAAACTATTCCACAAAGAGGTCGTACGTGGAAGAAAACTCCTTTTGAAACGTACAGTGGTGGACTGCCAAGCATCCAGATAGTGTGGATGGTATCGGGACGTTTGCCTTGCGTTCACAAAATTTGGCGGCTGGGATTAATCCGAACAACTCCTCAGAGCACTCCCCATGGTATATGCGAAAGAAAATGCAAAGAGATGCAAAATCTCTTCACAGCGCTAGTGAATCGAGCCGATCGGAAAGCACTCGGTCATCGACGATTCGAGCCGCTCTGCGCTGGATGCGGTCAAGTGGAAGGAGCTGGTACTGGGGAGCCCTAGCCCAGAGATGGGAACAGTATTCCATGTGCGGCCGAACCTGCGTCTTATAAAGTTGCAGGCGGTGTGCCGGCATGAAATACTGTCCCGCTCTGCTGAGCACGCCAAGCTTTTTAGAGGCCAATTTGGCCTTCTCTTCCAAGTGACCACGAAACTGCACGTCACTCGATATGTCGACGCCGAGGATTCCGATACTGGCTGAGGTAACAAGGGGAGTGCCTTGAAACTGAGGGGATACGACAAAGGGGTTCTTTTTAGCGGTTAACGCTCAAAGTTGTGTCTTCTGGGGGTTAAACTGGACTAGATTTTGTCGCCCCCAATCCGAGACTCTGTTCAGCAAAGACTCGACTTCAGACACAAGTTTGTCCCGGTACTCGGAAACGTTTTCCCGAGAAATATTGGCACGGCCGGTGTACAGAGCATCACCAGTGCAGTCATCTGCATAGCAATGAATGTTACGGGTTTGCAACATATTATTGATATGCAGAAGAAACAGCGTTGGCGATAGCACGCAGCCTTGTGGAACACCAGCATTAATAGGCTTGTAATCGGAGCTTGCACCGTCTACAATGACCTTGATGCTCCGATCTGCAAGAAAGCTGGTGAACCAATCGCACAATTGAAAGTCGCACAGGGAAGCCCATAGGAAGGGAGCTTCGAAAGAAGCGCTTTGTGCCAAACCCGATCGAAGGCCTTCGCAATGTCCAAAGTAACGGCCAATGCCTCCCCCTTGGACTCTACTGCTTCCGCCCATATGTGAGTTAGGTAGACCAGAAGATCACCAGATGACCGACCACGGCGAAAACCGTATTGGCGATCACTAATTAGCTGGTGATCCTCAAGGTACCTCATGAGCTGGCAGTTTACAATGGACTCCATTGTTTTGGAGAACAAGGAGGTGATGGCGATAGGCCGGTAGTTGGACGGGTCTGAGCGGTCGCCTTTTTTAGGGATCGGGTGGAAGAAAGCCGTCTTCCATGATTTTAGGACTACGCCTAGGGAGTATGAGTACCGGAAAAGACGCGTTAAAACCGGTGCCAACTTTGGAGCACACGTCCTCAGCACAATTGGGGGGATTCCGTCAGGCCCACTCGACTTGTGGGTGTCCAGGGAGAGGAGTGCTTTGCGAACCGAGCGCTGTGTGAACTGCACTTCCGGCATGGAGCACTCACACCGCGGGATGGTCGGCGTCGTGCTCCCCCCGTCATCGAGAGTCGAGTTGGACGCAAAGAAATAGCCCAGCAGATCGACTTTCTCCTTTGCGGTATGGGCCAGTGAGTCGTCCTCCCTGCGCATAGATGGAAGAGATGGCTGACAGGAATTCCCCTGGACAGCCTTGGCGAGAGACCAGAATGCACGGGTTCCAGAAGGAAGGCGAACTAGTTTCTCACCAATTCTGCCTATGTGCTCTAACTTTGCCTTGACAATGACTTTTGAAGGACCTAGAGGCGGAATTATACTTCTTTTTTAGAGCGCTGGTATTTACATCCCGGGACGTTGATGCGTCAGCCCAGGCTTGGTAGCACTCCTGCTTATAGCATGATGCTATTTTACAGGAGCGAACAAACCATGGCTGAGATTTGCCTCCAATGGGTACCACAGAGGAAGGAACAAAAAGTTTCATACCCTGAAGTACCACATCAGCGACAGAATCCGCAACAACGTTGGGATCGTTCGGCGAGAAGCAAAGCCGCCCCCAAGGGTAGGATGCAAAGAAAGATCGAATCCCATCCCAATCGGCTGACCTATAGTGCCAAACACGGCGGCAGCCTGCGGAATGCAACTGCGATTTCAGCGTGAGTGGCACCACACTCCGGACAAAACAATGGTCCGAGGAGCCTAAAGGGGCGTCAACGGAAATCTGATATCCGTCCGGGTGAGAGGTCAGCAGAAGGTCCAACAGGGAAGGTGCATGATCCTACACATCTGGAATCCGCGTAGGCGAAGTAACCAGTTGTGTCAGACCATATGCCAAGGAATCATGAAATCGGAGCCATTCGAGTATGGGGGTTGGGAGGTCCTGCGGAGGGGATCTGCTGTAGCAGCGAATCTGTAGCCATTTGGATGTGTTCGAAGAGTCGGTCTGTTTCGACATTACCGCTATGGGACCTATAGAGGCACCCGTAGACGCGCGGATGGTAGTCGCTGACTACGCGTAGCCAAAGGATGGACAGGTCCGAACCTTCAAGACTGCCGAGGCTTCGAGAACAGATGTCCTCTCTGACGTAAACGCAAACTCCAGACCGAGGCCCAAAGGAGTGTTACAGTTTGTACGTCGTGTAGGAGAGATACGAGACATCAGCCGGAGAAGACACCTGCGTCTCGGTCAGAAAGAGCAGAGCCGGCCTCGTCGTCTCGAGATGGTAGTGGACGGCGTTTAGGTTAGAGTGAAGTCCCCTGATATTGCAGAAATTCACGGATAGCGTGGCAGGGGTCGCCTTGGTTTTGTTGCTCCTTAATTCCGCTACCATGTTGATGGGGGGGGGGGGATTTGGGCCTCCGGCCACCTGCACTCACCAGACGAAACGCGAAAGCAGTGTTTACACTTCACGCCGGTATTCTGTGAGGTCGTGGTACCACCCTGGTTTCAGCCGGCCCATACGTGCATCAGCAAAGCTGCCGCGTGGCTCTACCACTGTTAATACGTTTACATACGGACGTTTTTAACTTATAAATATACACATAATATTAATAAGTGATAGTGACTATAATAATATCCAAAATTATTTTATTTCTAATTTTATGACAACCCCCTAGAATATTTGCGACAATGGAGTAATGATAAATACCTACGCAAGCGGCGGCTTTGCCTGACATCAAAGGCGTTTCACAACTGTTAGTTTTGAAACGCCTTTGATGTCAGGCAAAGTTTAAACTGTGGTACTGGAGACCCTTTTTACTGGAGACGAGGCATTCCATCTTAGTGCTCCGGGGTGACAATATATCTGCATTTTGACTCTTAATCGGAGATTGATGTTTATGTCTATGAACTACAGTATCCTCTCACCGTCAGGTAGATTGTTTGCTCATTTGTGACCTTAGTTCTAAAGATTTCGCCTTTCTCAGTGGCTCCCATATATAGGTATGATACATTGTTAATATTATGTTCTTGTAGGCAGCTGTGCTATTCTTAGTGCGTAATACATACTTGAGAGGTTCATATTATGAGCCATTGGAGTGGGAGTGAGCAATAACATTTAGTGTTACATCAAGCGTTATTGGGCTTGGCTTGGTTTAGCTTAACTGAGGGACAGCCAAGCCAAGGCTGAGTCAAAGCTTAGCTTGGCTGTCATAGACAGAATATCAGCTCTCAACGGTAACTCTGTCACTGAAGCATTATGTTGAGTCGGTGGCCTGTTTGTTGCTGCAATGTATATAATTTCTTTAATTAAAAAAATAAATATTTATTAAGTTATTTGTATGTAAAATTAACGTTTCTTAAAAGCAGTTGAAGCAATAAATATCGTCTTTCTTTCTTTCTTACATTATAATATGACATCTGAGCAATTGACAGCTTATTAAAAAATCGCCCAGGAAGATCATGACCACTAAAGAGATATAAAGAGTTATACTAATTGTCATGACAATGTAAACATTTGAGGTTTTTTTTTAGAATATGGGTGACAAATGAGCACACAGCCCACATAATGGTAAGTGACCCATAGATATCTACATTTGTCCTCAATCAAGAAACAAAATGGAAATGCGTTGTCACCCCTGAGGACTGAGGTGGAATGCCTCGTTTTCCATTGCCTTCGGGTTTCCGGTTCTCTACACTCACCATAAGAAAGCTGCTATTTTACGCTGGTATTCTGTGAGAGTGTAGTCCCACCTCTGTCGAGCCGGCCCATTCGTGCTACAACCATAATATAGCTGCAGCGTGACTCTACCACGTTAGGTTATATCCCTAGTATTAAAATCGCGATGGGATCTTGTTTCTCAGACGAGCAAACACCACCACGGCTGCAATTACTGTCTCGCGCGTCAGTGAGACGTGCCATGCGGCTGGGGGTGCTGCGCCGCAACCCCGAGCTCCAGGAGCCTCCAAGCGGACCCCGGGACCCTCGCCCCTCGCGCTCCCTTCGCCACATGAGACACTGCCCCCGTCGCATCTGCATACCCGTCGACGAGAGGCCAGGTGTGTGTTCATTTTTCCACCAACCTAAAGTCGCCAGCTAGTCAACATCCCACCTCATTTTAGTTGGCCCCTGTCATCTAACTTCGAACAGAGGAAGCTATAGGTATGAGGAAGCACTGTTATGTAGCTGTAATTATATATGTTCAGTAATACCATTCAAACTAAATTAAATCTGCTATCATTTAAACGGTCAGCCAATCAAAGAGGTTTTGTTTCTCCGAAATGTTTTTGTCAGCAAACAGAGTAAATCAAGAATAACTAAATTAATCAGCAAGTAATGTGATAAGCAGCCTTAAAATTGATGTCATAGTAAAATAAATATATCTGCAGCAATATTAGTAACAAAACATTATGATTTTATCAAATTTTGGCAAGCTGTAAAATTAATTTGCTAATTAATTTTATTTCTACAACTAAAAGTGCACAATTTTTAACTTCCCGGTATGAAAATCAATAGTTTTAAAAAATCGGAAAGTTATTGGTTTCACGCTGGTTTTCGAAAATAGAAATCTCACCAGATCTTCTCGTTTTGAAGTCCTAGGAAGCTATTCTACCTGTTGTTGTTGTTGATGCCCCTTCGTTACTTTATCCTGATGTCCGATTATGAGATTTTTATAGAATTTATTTTAGAGAATTTGGAGCGCTTTGCATTTGAAGTCAGCAGGATGTTGCAGTGATGGTCAACCGTATTTTTTTTGACTGCTATTAGCTATTGTAAAATCATTCATTATATTCATTAATGGACTGCCTACTTTACCTACTATTTAAAAATATATCAAAATAGAACTAGGAAATCTCCTAACCAATAATCTTGCTGACCAATTAATTTTTATTTTTGAAAATTTTGTATTAGGACTATTTATTTTACAAACATGCATCATCAAGCTGATCAAATATTTACTTATATTGCTTTTTTATGGCCTACGAAAATATACTATGCTGTCAAAATAACTTCAGCTGATTTTTCTTGCTGACCAAATATATTTAAAGTAATGGTCCATTACATTACTTGCCAATTTAAACAGTAGATGTAGTACATTTACTGTTTAAATTGGCAAGTAATGTAGATTTTTGACCCTTTGGTAGAAATAGGTAAGAGTGTGGAACCAATCTCAACGAAGTCCTTGGAATATAAGTACTTGAACCACCTGCAAGCCTGAAACCTTGCTATCCATCAAAATGACAGTCACTTTGTAGTACATTGCGTCGTATGTTTTATGAGCTTTGGTAGATCTAATAGAAAAGCTATACAGAACAAGCAATGTATTACATAGTGACAAAATTTTTGATTGCAACAAAGTTAGCAAGTTAGTGTAACTTAGCTCAGATCTGTTTCAAAAATGCAGATCATATCAATTTTAGCCACTGAACTGCACCTCAATGACGAGTTGAACATGACTCACAAATTGTCGCATAAATGTTGCATTGCTTGTAGACTTAGTTTAACATATCGAACCATTCTTTTAAGCTTACCATAAACTGTATGAATTAATTCTGTATGAAAATAAATCTGTTTAAATTGCATATATATATTTTTTGCATTCGATTTCACTAAATATTGTAAATATAATATCTTTCGTGGTAGAGCCATGTTGCAGCTATATTAGTAGTATAGTTGAAGCACGAGCGGGTCGGCTTGACCGGGGTAGGACCACACTCTCACAGAATACCAGCGTAAAATAGCGGCTATATGCTGCTGTGTTTCGTATGGTGAGTGTATAGAACCGGAGACCCGTTTTACTGGAAAAGAGGCATTCCATCTTAGTCCTCACGGGTGACAATTTGCATTTTGATTCGTAATCGGGGATAGATGTAGCTGTATATGGACCACAGCAACCACTTACCATCAGGTGGACTGTGTGCTCGTTTGTCACCCTTATCCTATAAAAATATCCTATCCAATTAATATATAATTTAGTTACATCATTGCGTATTAAATGACAATACAATTTATGTAAAGCATTTCAAAATAATTCTGATATAAGTAACATAGTTTAATTGTATCTTTAATATGTACGTACCTAATTTTCCAAAGATCTATTCTGTCTGTTATTGCCTGTTTTCACAAATAAAATTAAATTTAATAAAAAAAATATCTTTTTTTTCATACAGCATTTGATTTGCACTAAAATTAATTATTAATTAAATATGAATTAATTAATTAAATATTAATTGATAATTAAATATTAATTGATAATTAATTATATTCCTTGGATTGAAAAATCTTTTTGATATTAGCACAAATTTTTCGGGATTTTAACATATGTATAGAATATTTATAAATATGTTCATACACAGCAATTCAGAGTTCTTCAGCATCTATTGTGACATTCTTTGTATGTGTGTACATGAATACTAACTTGTACTTGACACTAAGGAACTAAAAATACTGCTTAATAAATTGGTTAAGGAGTACATCCGTGTCCAGCCATGAACTTTTGAGTTAGAAAGGTAAGCTGATAAGGAAGAAAAAAATTGGTTAACAACTTAGTGCTCAAAGTCAGAACTGAAAATAACAAAATATATTTACTATGTTAAAAACAAGTTCTTTAATTTTTCATTTAACATTTTCAATATTTGTTTCAGGACGTTTTGATATGCTGCACGACTTAGACCGTGAGAACGGCGCGAACGAAATGAACGCGCTCCTAAGCCTCGTATTGAGTATGGGTGATAACAGGGTTGCTGGTGCTCTGAGGTTTGATTCGCCATCAGAGTCCTCTGCTGATGAAGGTTCTCAAGATGAAGCACAAGATGAAGAACAACCACAACAAAACAGGGATAGAGAGCCCAACTTTGATGCTAATGCCGATGAAGATGCAGTAGACGAAGCTTCTGATCGAAGAGTTGATGTGGTCTTTAGAAGTTTTCTCAATATAAGAAGACGCAATCTTAGCCAAAATGGAAATGACACACAGGGTCGTTCACTAACATTCGAGTTTCTGGAAGCTGAACCTGCCACATCTCAAGAACCTGGGGACAACGGAGCTCCACCGGATCCTAAACAATGCACGTCGACAAACAGCGAAGTACCGGCTGATGTGGAGGTATACTTCGATAATAACGCTGAGCTGCCGGGAACCTCAAAAACTGAAATGGAGTGGGAGGAGTCAAAGACTGATGGCAAACGTGAGCAAACCAGTGATGATGACACAGAATCAATTTCGAAGGGTACAGAAGAGAAGCGAAAGAAGCTAGACAGTGGTATTGGAGAAGAAAATTCACCATCCAGTTCTTCACCAGAAAAGACTGAGAAGAGTGACGAATCGGAAATATGTGAAGACTCACATCCATCTGATAGTCATACTGAAGATACAGAAGCTGCTTCGGGTGAAGGTAATAATATTACTGTTTTTTCATTGTAAATTTTTATCATTTTTGTAATTTTGCAAATTTTTCAAACTAAATGTGTTGTAAGCTCGAAATATAAACAAAAAACGGGAATAATATATAATCTGTACAGAAAACGAACAGGATGATGGCTCATCGTGCCTATAGTGAATCACCCATGGGAAGTCCGGGCAAATATAGCGCTAATAGCTACATAGCTAAACACAAATTATAAATAGCTTGGTAGCAATCACCTCATTCCCAGGGGTTATTATCACCCATAAACTCTTAAATATTATAATAACCCTTTTTATACAAACTTAGTTCAATATAGTTTTTGAACTTTAGGCAGATTAAATTTTGTATATTTTCTGGGGTTTTGTTGTAAAAGGGCCCCAAGAATGAATTACTGATTCGGTGGAGTTGAGTAACTGGTACTACTAGCTTGTTCCTAGTATTTAAAGAATGAATATCACTTATTTTTGTAAAACTACTTTTATTTTTGTGTTTATATTTTCATAAATATATTGAGAGGCCAAAGTTATTTTCTCAAATTTTTGTCTGAGCGACTCTTTAGGTTTTAAATCAAAGATTGCTCTTATGGGCCCTCTTGAGAAGATATTATGTGAAAATTATTTCATTCTTTTTAGTTTGAAGTTGGTTTTGATTGTAAATTTAATTTTTTTTAAAAATTGTGTTTAGGTCGTCACCGGTCGAAACGCACCCGTTTGCTTAGACCAGCGTCATCCACTGATGAAGATGGCTCTGATGATGGGCTAGGTAGTCCACATCGTCGCCACAAGAAGCGCGCCAGCCAAGGTGGAGACGCAAGACGCGTCCGCCTCTCCATTCTTATGAAGCGAGCCATCAAAGAACTACCACTACCATATGCACTCAAGAAGTATGTGAACTATGGACGTTGCTTTCAGTTCTAAGACCAAAGTTTCAAGAGGTTGTAACCTTGATTCTTCTAATTTCAAGCAGCAGCTATTCCTTAACAAGATTATACCAACTCAGCCGCAGCTTATTGGAAATTCTCAATGTCAAAGAGTCCACCTCTCCATACTCATGAAGCAAGCCATCAAGGAATTGCCCATGCCATATGCGCTCAAGAAGTATGTCAACTATGACCGCTGCTTTCAGTTCTAAGATCAGAGCTTTAAGGGTAACCTTGATGCTTCTAAGTTCAAGCAACAGTTATTCTTCAATAAGGATGTACCAACCAAGCCGCAGCCTTCTGCATTTCTCAAAGTCAACAAATTATACAGATGCAGATGTTTTCAACCAAACATTTCCCGATGTTGTTCCTGTATAAATGCACTATAAATCTGCATTTGTAATAAGAAGTAAGCAATTCTGTCATGAGATGTTGTAAACAACCTAAGAAGTATTTCCATTGTGATTACTGCTGTTCCAACAAGACTGTATAAACAAAGCTACAAACTTTGGAAATTTCTCTAAGTAAGATATTTTCTGAGCATATTCCTGCATAATATGGACTGAAAAATACCTTTATGATAACCGAAAGAAGTACTTCATAATGGTTATTGCTGCAAGACAGTTGCAAATCTGCCACAGATTTCCAGATGCTTATTCAAATCAATAAGTGAAATGTTTAAAAAAATTGCCATATTTGACTATATTTCCTGCAGATGTACAGATAAAGTTTCCTATTGCACTGGCAAAGACAATGAACAATTTGAAAACACTGCAAGTAGATACCGGTTTTTTTTAATACTTCATATGACCGTTTTATATTACCGTATACTGGATTATTTTGCAATAACTGGTCAAATTTGCAGAGAAGGTTCAGATAAGTTATATAAGCAAATATTCAAGAAACGAAAAAATTCTCAAACATTCTGTCCTTTTATCTTTTAAATTCAAAATGCATGATAATGCATTATTTTAATTCACCACACATATTCGTAAGGATCAATAAGTAGGCAAAAATGTTGTTGCCCATAAATCACATTCATTTTGGGATAATTTCAAATAAAAGTTGAAAACTTTACTTATATTTTGAAAAATTGCAATAACGGTGTACCATTATTTATATATTTGAACTTAAATTACTAAAATTAGACTACTCTTTGACAAATAACCTGTGTATATTTGAAATGCTGGTTACCACCATATTCATTAGCATATTGTGTGGAAATCAATAAGAAGCTCTAAATTCAACTATGAATAAATAGTATAGGACAGATTTGGGAGATGTTATTACTGTCACAGGTTATTGAATACTATTTATTCTTAAAGTATTCTAGGTATTTTAATTCCTAAATATATTGATAAGAAGAAGATAGTGCTGTGTATGGTGATTGTTTATGACTTGTGGGGTTTGTGAAGTGGACATTTGTGGTTGCTCAGATTGAAATATATGTTATGGAAAAAGATACATCAGGATGATTACAGAAGAGATTATATAGAATGGTTATTGTGTGAAGGCAATTAATGTAACCGTAGAAAATGTGGCAATAGTCACATACTCTTAAATATAGTTCGAGGGACGAGTATATTTTTCATTATTCGTTGATTCATAATTTTCACATAGGTTATATATACAATTTCATGAAATTTAGTCATTTTTATAGGAATGTTTGAACTTGTGGTCACAGGTGTGTTATTGGTCAATGTTGTGCTTAATTAAGTTACCAAAGTTGAAGTAGAATGTTTAATATATTAAGAAAATCAATTTTCTTTGTTATCTTTTCTATTGGGGAAATAATTTGAAAATAAACTTTATTTTTATAGAATGGGGTGACAACCGAGCAGACAGTCCACCTGACGGTAAGTGGCTGCTGTGGCCCACAGTCATCTACATCTATTCTCAATTAAGGATCAAAATGCAGATGCGTTGTCACCCGTGAGAACTAAGATGGGATGCCTCGTTTCCAGTAAAATAGGATCACCGGTTTTATACACTCACCATATGGAACAAAGCAGCATTAAGCTACTATTTTACGCTGCTATTCTGTGAGAGCGTGGTGCTTCCGGTCGAGCCGCCCCATTCGTGCTACAACTATACTACTAATACTACTGCTTCGTGGCTGTTTCATGCATAAATGTCTTACTGTCTAATATTACAGTAAGCATTTAAAGAAAGGTCTTATGACCAAATACTCTTCTTCTTATTATTTTTTAAAGAAAAATGGCTCCATCGTTTAAACAATAATTCTCTGCCAATATCAAGATTGAGAAATACAAGAGGACATTACAAAAAAAAAGGAGAAGTAACCCAAACACTCAAATGTTGCTCAATATCAAGATGTCGTTAAGCTCGTGCTGTCTCTATCACTTTAAGTCAAAGTGACTGTGACACCACGAGACTTAACGACATCTTGAAATTGAGCAACTTTAAGTATGTTATGCATGTTAGAATTTTCAATGTTTCAAGGTTTAGTCTATTCGACCGAAACCTACCTGTGGCTGCAAAGCAAATAAACTACTCTATTAATAATATACTGTTTTAATTTTCCTTTAGTAAGAGACGTCATTGACTTATTTTAAATCCATAGCTTGCATGTTTGAAATTACTCAGTTTATTTGATTTTAATATGGATTATTGATATAGCTGTATATTTGTTTTACTTATGATTTAATTATAAATAAAGTTAGTTCAACGATAAGCACTTACGTAAGTTGCAGGATTAATGAATATAATAATATATATTTGATATAATATATTCAAACGCTACTGTAAGTCTCGTACTGTCTATCGCTTCGAGTCAAAGTGACGGCGACACCACGAGACTGAACGACGTAAAATCGAGTAGCGTTTGAGGTGTCTTAGATTTGTACATCATTAGTAATTTTATTTCCTCATTGTAAATAACAATATACATTTTTAATAGTATAGAAAAAATATAAAGTTTTATGTTAGTAGCGGCTGTAAAGTATGGTTTTAGGTTATTCTCTTTAATAGTTTTCCTAGTCTAAATTAGTAATTGTTTTCTAACATTTCTTCTCCAAAAGTGACATTTAGATATTGTTCTTTGTTCTGCTTTTGATTGCTTCTAATCTCTTCTAAAATTGAATGCGATAATTTTCCCCGAAACAAAACATTTTTAACATGTTTTGACTATCTTTGTTATAATATGATTGCAGAAAATAACGATAAGATCAAATATCTTATACCGTCGAGTTGTGGTAAGTCTAAGAATTTAAAGTAAAGATAATTTTTCTTTGGTTTAAATTCTTGGACTGGATTAATTTTTTGGTAAACTGCATCAATTTGAAGATTGGTTTGTACAACGAAGATCGATCCATGTTCAGTTTTGTACGAGATTTTGTGTAAACAAATCACATATAGAATAGATTCTTTAAAGATACATTAAAAATAAATAATATTTAATGTTTAGAAGTGCAAAAAGATACCATGTTCAATTAAGACTAGTTTATTCTTTTAATTTATAAATTAAATAATTTATAAAAAAAATGTAATAAATGCATAGTACTAGTGGTAATGATATTCATACATATTTTTTTCTTTTCTTTTCGTGATTGTGTTATTAGAAGAAATATAAAATTTGTCTATCCTAAGGCAGCCTGCATGAGCGTGTAATGTACGCCAAAAAATTTAAATCTCGCATTTATTTTAAATTGATATGATATCGAATGAAAGATAGATGAAGAACGAAGCAACAAATGTCAAATGATGTTATATAACATTTTTTTTTCAATATCACACAGTGTTGCCAGATCTAGAGGTTTTTCCTCAATCTAGGGGTTTTTAGAGGACGTTGAGGTTTTTTTAGAGGTTTTAATATCACGAAATTAATCTAGAGGTTTTTCTGAAGGTTTTTCAATAGTCTTACCAACTTCCGAATTCTTTTTCAAAACAGACAATGCCAACAATTGATTATCGATATAAAATATCGATATGGTAGTATCGCAATTAATTTGTCCGTCTTATACTCATAACTTTTTCTATATTGATGTATTTAACCTACATATAAAATGTGTTGGAGATTTAGATTTGTGTGTTTTGTTTTGTTGTTTTTTGCCTTAGTGACACAAAATTTTATTGAGTAGGTGTGCAGTACTGTCTATGTAGTGTTTCTTCCCCCGTACAAAAAATGACAGACTTTTTTTGTTCGTAGCATTAGGCGCATTACTCGTCCATTTTGGTTGAATGGTCTAAGTACGTAGCTTGTATGTAGTAGAAACTTTTAATTTTTGATAAATCTGATTCACATGAAACTTGACCGAATAAAAATTCAGAGGTTTTTTATCCCCTTACATAGGGAAACTAGGCGTTTTTTGAAAAAATCTAGGGGGGAAGGTGAAAAAAATCTGCAACACTGATTTCACACAAGGTGCAAACAATAGTGGTGTCGAAAACGTTTGAGAAACACTGTTTTTATGTTTGCATAAAATTTCAAGCTAAAGTGAAGAATGTATAGATCCATTAACTGTTTTATTGCCTCAGAACATATACAAAGATCGTTAAGAACATGTTAAGAACTATTTGTCTACAACAAGCAAATGACAAATTATAATAAAAAAAGCCTGTTAATATTAATATAACTCGAGAAAGAACTAGATTACGTTTGTTTGGTATAAAATCGACAGGATTTAATAACATTGATTTCTGGCTCGTAGTTTTTTGATTAAGTTTTTAGTGCCAATATTTATCCACCATTGATTTAATATCTAATCTATAATATAAGAAAAATTATATAAAAAATATGGGATTGTTTTATAAACTAAAACATCTGGTTAATCATGTAATGATTAACGGTCATCAGCTCGAGCCGCTCTATTGGCGGGATCTTTCGATTGCGTTGCGTTGGCGGGAAAATTTAATTCGGTTTCTAATAGCCCAGCACGAATTACATAATTTTTTTTAAATTTAAATTTTTTCGAGTTTATTTTATTGAGACTGATGGTTATTTTCTAAATTATTTATGGCATTGTATAAGAAAATAAA